TTACAAGAACTCTAACATTTAATAAATAATAAAAGCATAATAAAAGATATAAAATAAGTTTCCTAAATTTCGCAAAAATGTCAACAATTACAAAATATCTGAAATACACGCGTGACGTAACTCGAGACACATCCCTTTCCAATCGTTCCTTCTAAATTTGGGTTCGGAGGCATTAGAATAAATCGCGAAGGAGAGCGCGACGATAAGCGCGACCGCGACGAGATAAGACTCCGGATTTTCCTCCGGAGGTAATATCCGGTCTGACGCGCTCCTTTTCCCGGGAACTTACGATTCCGCGAATAATCGGTGCGACTCGTGCGAGGAAGAGAGAGAGAGAGAGAGAGAGATAGAGAGACCGCACGGACCGGCACGGAGTCGGCACGGTTGGCACCTAAGCGCATAGCTAGTCGACCTGCATCCATGGATATGCAGGATTCCGACGTTCGATGGACCTCATACCACTGGAATGCACTCAACGAGCTACAGGCTCCACGTTACTCCGCAGCATCTCCCTACTCCTCTTCTCATCCCGAAGAGAAGGCACGCGTTTCTTCTCTTCTTCTGCTCCCACCATCTCCGTCTCGTCGATCTATCGATCTTTCTCTCTCTCTCTGCCTCGTCTTTTTTCGGCCTTCTTTTACCGCTCTCTTATACCAGTTACCACTCTGGATATGTTAATGGCTTCGGCCGACCACTTGGGTTACCAAGCGAATCTTATTTTTGCCGGGACTACTCGGACTTTTTCATAGAATTCCGCGGACCCGATCGAAGTCGAGCGAGCGAGCGAGAGATCGATCGATCGAGCGCGGGAAACGAATTTTTTGAGCGACGCGGTAGTTTAGTTTTTATTAATTATAGGCAGTCTATATTTATATGGAGAGAGAATTTTTGCTGAGAATTTACCCTGAAAATTGTAGGACAGTATTGAAAGAATTTTGATAAGAGTATGATACTGATTAATATTTAATAAATAAAAATATTAATATCTAGAATAAGATATAAAATATGGTACATTAATTTTGCTAAAATTTCAATAATTTTAAAGTATATTAAAAAAATTATGATTCTCTAAGTGTTTAAAATAGAATACATATATAAATTTACTATGTCCATTATTAATATTTAATAAATAAAAATATGAATATCTACCACAATAAGATATAAAACATGTTTCATTAATTTTGCTAAAATTTTTCAATAATTTTAAAACATATTGAAAAATTATGATTCTTTAAGTGTTTTAAATAAAATACATATAAAATATTTTTGCTTAGAATTTACCTTGAAAATCATGGTAATTGTAGGACAGTATTGAAAGAATTTTATAAGAGATCTGATTAATATTTATTAAATAAAAATATTAATATCAAGATAAATAATAAAATATGTTTCATTAAATTTGCTAAAGTTTCAATAATTTTTAAATATATTAAAAAAATATGATTCTTTAAGTGTTTTAAATAGAATGCATGTAAAATATTTTATATAAATTTACTATGTGCATTATTAATATTTTTTATTGGGGTACATATTAACCAAAGAAACTCTTGTAAAATAAAATAATTCTTCCAATACCATATTCTCACAATTACTATAATTTTCAAGGTAAATTCTATGAGAAAATTTCCTCCGTGTATTACATACGACTATGAAAATAAGATATTTCAAAGCTTCCTCGAGAGACAAATTATATATAATAAATATACACATCGAATTAATGTCACAAAAATGTAGACTTCAATTTTATAGATCTCTAACTTTTGAGATAATTCCAAGAAAATATATAATTTGAATATAAAATTTTTCGGACGACATATTTTGCTCTTAAGAGCTTTTCGATACAATATAGAATAATCTGGGAGAATCACGGACGATAGCACTTTTCGAAATGACTAAAACTGCCGCAGTAAGAGCCCTTATTACTTATCGTTCGCATTTTCGAAACACTTTTAGCCAATTTCGAAAAATAGCTCCTTTCTTCGATCGTCATATCGTGTCTTTTTCGGGAAATTGCATCGAATGATTTTTAACGTCGCAAAGAATTCGAAGAATTGGCAACGCAAAGTTACGACGACAATGCAAGCATTCCGTATAATTACGTATCACTTCTTCCCTTAAAAAACATCAAATTAAAATTATTTCAAATATTGAAACTCGAGCAAAGTGTCTTGAATGATTTAAAAATTCTAGAAGTTAACACTATTCTTTTTTAATACATATAATTTAAAACAAATTATGTAAAGAATATATATCATATTTTTATGCAGAAAAATACTAAATGGATTTTTTGTGGATGAGTATAAATTTATAGAAAAAGAATTTTATAAGAGTTTCTCTGATTAATATTTACCACAATAAAAAATATTAATATGCACATACTACACTGAAAAAAATTGGTTAACTTGACTAAACCTTTCAACTAAATATTATTTTATTAATTGAACCTGTAAAAATATTTAACTGAAATATAACATATGAAATTTAACAAAACGTATATTTGACTTAAATACTAATATATGTTGATTTAACAAAATAGTAATTTAATTAAAACGTTTAGTCAAGTTAATCGAATATATTTTTATCTCTTTGTAGTATATTATAGATATTAATATTTCTTATTTTGTATAAAAAAATAATCACAGAGAAACTTACAAAAATTCTTCCGATACCATATTGTCCCACAATTTGACCATTCTATTCTAAAAATAAAAATTCTTTCGAGCTTGTCTAAAAATAAAAGAAAAAATTGGACCCGTCACTATTAATGACACGTTACAAAATAAAGGCGAAATGCGGTAAGAGTCGACTTTTCGTATAAGGCGCACAAATAGGCACCGTGTTCCTCCCACACTTCCTCTACACGCTGACGATGTGCGACGGGATGACCCAAGAAAGCATCCTCCTGAACTACATACATACATATTTCGTTTCTCTCGCACGTGGGCTTTTCGCCGACTCGCGATCCCACATTTGTCCCATACATTTCCGAGAAACAACGTTTACATTATCGCTGACGTCATCCGCTAATCTGCCACGCCATAATTGTCCGATCAGCTGTGACAGTCGCGAGGGAACGGAAGTTCCCGCCAAGCTATCGCGATTTCGCGATTCCTTCCTTTCTTTTTTGCTACACGTGGCGTAAAATTGTCGATGACGCTCGTTCTAATAAAATCTATATTTTATTAAAAATCAAAAAATCGATATTACTTGTGGATTCGAAAATTGCCGATTAATTTATTGAAAAAGAGACTCAATATTTTCTTAATATTGCTATTTGTCGAGAAAAGTTAATTTCAAGAGAGAGGACTAAAATAATTGATTTCTAGCATTCACATATTAATTCTAACTCCAAATTAAGATTTGAATTTATATCATAGTCTTAAGAAAATAGTGAAAATATTTTCTCGTCCTAAGTTTTCCTTCTTTTTTCCTCTGATATAAGATAAATTTTCTCCGATAGATTATTTCCTATAATTCAGATATAGACGCACGACCTATCACTAGATTTATCATCTTGCCCAAAGTAAGAGTGATGCAACAACTGATACAATAACTCTGTAACTATTTTCGGACATCTCTGCGTCTGTTCAAATGTAATAACTGGGAATCCGCGATAAACAGTCGCCTTTAATCACGGAAATTTTTCACAATTATATTTCAGGGCTCGGATAAAAAAAAGCGAAATAGAAGCATCCTGACATATAAGCCAATATTTCGTATGTCTCTCTTTCTCCACTTTAAACATCTGTCTCGCGAAAATTAAATTATAGCGTTGCCACAAAATTCTTGACACGCCGATAATTAGTATAATAATATGCATATTGCGTACATAATTTAAAATAAGAAATTTTACATATTCTCTCGACAAGTGTTTATTCAACAATATTTCAGTCAAACCAAAAATATGAGTTTACCATTTCAATTTATTAGGGATAAACTGAAAATCGCGAAAAAGTGAGAGATTTAAAATATAAATTAAAAATAAGAAATTTTACAATTTCTCTCGACAAGTATTTTTTCAACAATATTTCAGTCAAAAGAAAAATATGAATTTACCATTTCAATAGATTAGGGACGAACTTAAAATCACGAAAGAAAGCGAGATACAGAATACACAAAAATTTGACAGCTGTCAAAATCAGCTGTCGGCTGAAGAAGGGGGCCTTACCTTCAGTCAAAAGAAAAATCTGAATTTACCATTTCAACCGATTAGGGACAAACTTAAAATCGCGAAAGAGAGAGATACAGGATACACAAAAATTTGACAGCTGTCAAAATCAGCTGTCGGCTGAAGAAGGGGGCCTTACCTTCAGTCAAAAGAAAAATCTGAATTTACCATTTTAACCGATTAGGGACGAACTTAAAATCGCGAAAGAGAGAGATACAGGATACGCAAAAATTTGACAGCTGTCAAACTCAGCTGTCAGCTGAAAAAGGGGTCCTTACCTTCAGTCAAAAGAAAAATCTGAATTTACCATTTCAACTGATTAGAGACAAACTTAAAATCGCGAAAGAGAGAGATACAGGATACGCAAAAATTTGACAGCTGTCAAACTCAGCTGTCAGCTGAAAAAGGGGTCCTTACCTTCATTCAAAAGAAAAATCTGAATTTACCATTTCAACTGATTAGGGACGAACTTAAAATCGCGAAAGAGAGATATCAGATACGCAAAAATTTGACAGCTGTCAAAATCAGCTGTCAACTGAAGAAGGGGGCCTTACCTTCAGTCAAAAGAAAAATCTGAATTTACCATTTCAACTGATTAGAGACAAACTTAAAATCGCGAAAGAGAGAGATACAGGATACGCAAAAATTTGACAGCTGTCAAACTCAGCTGTCAGCTGAAAAAGGGGTCCTTACCTTCATTCAAAAGAAAAATCTGAATTTACCATTTCAACTGATTAGAGACAAACTTAAAATCGCGAAAGAGAGAGATATCAGATACGCAAAAATTTGACAGCTGTCAAAATCAGCTGTTAGCTGAAGAAGGGGGCCTTACCTCGTTGATGTGTTTGTAGGTCTTGATGAGGTCGACGCTAAGTTTCCTGAGGGGCGCCGTCGCTGGATCGCGAAACCTGTGGGGTATCCTGGCCTGCATGGCGTGAATGTCCGAGGGGGTCTCCTGCGGGACTCCGCCGGCAGCCCCGCCACCCGCAGCACCGGCACCACCGCATACCGCGGAAGGCATGGGCTCCTCGGCCACCAGGCGCCCGTAAAGGGGCGCACCGCCGGCCCCCGGCCTCCCGCCCACTGAAAGCATCGAGAGACAAACGGATCAATGCACCGCGGCTCTGCATTTTTCGTTATATCGAGTGGCCCAGGTTTACCGTATCATCCGTTAATGAGGAGACGATTTTCCCACCGCGAAAATGTCGAGGAACCAGATTTTCGAGTTATAAGCAGTGTTGCGCTCAGATGATTTTAAAATTAGCTGGATAAAGATGAGATAAAAATATGTAATAAAAGGAAAAAATGATATAGCGATTCATCTAGATAATAATTTTTAAATCTGCTTATATGTAAATACAGTTATAAAAAATTGTAAATTATAAAAGGAATATAAAAATATATATATATATAGATGACGCCAAAGTTTTATCTAGATGATCATCTATATAATTTTATTTGGATAACAGCAAACACTGGTTATAGCGAGTGAAAATAAAGGCAAACTAGAAACTACATTAATTTCATAGAGTTTACTTTAATAGAATTTTAATTGATGATGATGAAAATTGGGAACGTGCAAAAAGTAATGATCTCCCTTGACATTCTCACTGATTTGTGAAGAAAAAATCATCTCCAAATAATCTCAGGAATCTCGTATTAACGAGTGATACGGTAAGTCTGGGATACCCTGTATTTTACAGCAAAATTCAGTACAAAGTTTATCATGTTTGGTAATAAGCAAAAATTACCATACCATATAAAATTAAAAAAAAATACTTCATATATTTTTTTGGCATCTATTCTATTTAAAACACTTAAATCATTTAAAGAACTTAAGAATACATTTTTAATATATTTGAAAATTATTGAAATTTTAGTGAAATTAGTCAAAGATATTTTATATCTTATTGTGGTAGATGTTAATATTTTTTATTATGGTGAATATTAATCACAGAGAAACTCTTATTCCAATATCATATTGTCCCACGATTACCATGAATTTCGGAATAAATTCTAAGAGAAAATTCCCTCTGTGTACTTATACTTTTCGAAAATTGTCTTACACGCACGATTTCCATCCTTCAAACATGACATGTTACTTGGGGCGATAAAAGGAGATCCAAACCGATACATACTATTTTATCTTTTAACGTTGTCCCTCAGTTAAAACTTTAAAACAAAAATATCCAGATATTTATAATAGAGACTGCTTCCTAAAAAAATGGTATCACAATTTTAACATTATTTCAAATCTTTCTACATAGCACGTTTCTTTAAGCAAATAATCTTTTTTCAAAGAAGGTGCGAGAGAGAGAAAATTGAGAAATTACCATATACAAGATTATATATTAATCCCGTAATAAAAATTATTTAATGATATGTAAATGTATATCGAGTTTGAAATAAAATTATATTTTTTGCTACTCTGTGTAAAAATATTATTTAATGAGAATATTTGTCTTATCTTTGAAACCAAAGTTTTTTATCCGAGACTCCTTCATCCAAGATATGAAAATACATGTGGATGAAATCAGTCCTAACACAATATTTATTTATATATTCTTTAGACCGTCACTTCAAAATAAATATCGATATACTAAACACACATAAAACGTGTTTGTGAAATGTTTAATGTAATTTTCCTCTAGAATTTAGAGGCAATAAAGAATAGAAATTAAATAGATCAAGGTATAATACCACAAAAAATATTATTTTTATTTAAAAATTAAAGTAATTCGCGGCAAGGAAAAAGGATTCAAGTTCATTTAAGCATGTGAGTGAACCCACGAGCTATGGACTTTTGATAAATAAATAAACTAAGTAAGTAAGCTATGTTTCATATCAGTTGTGATAAAGAGTCTAACGCATTTAATCTTCCAGAAATATATAAAGATACGTTTAGAAGAGATATCGGTTTAGAAAATCTATTTTGGTATATCTTTTCCTAACATTTAATCTATAGAAAGATTAGTTAGTAAGACTTAAAGAGTCCAGTCGTCAAGAAATATATCCTCCGAATTCCTATTTATTGCGTAATCATTTGTAATTATCAATTGTGTCATCATAAGAGAATTTTTATTTATATTTAATTTCTTTTTATATACCTGCTAAAAGCTCTCTAAAATTATTATATAGTTTTATATCGCAAAAAGTCATCTGTCTTTGATGCTATAACAAAATATATACAAAAAGACGTAGAAAAAAATATATAAGTAACGTTATATATTATTCATCATGTCATATTATATGTTGTTCGATGTCTCCGTTTTCGAAATCTACATCATGTAATTGCAAGGGAGAATTTGATTGCTTCACTGTATATATACCGCGAGAAATAGATCAATGTGCGGCCGCAAGTTTATAATCAATGATCAATATTTGTATGTTTGCTGCTTCATGTTGACGTTTATCTGTTAAGTTGATCATTAGGTAATTAGATCCGCGTATTAATTAGGGAACGTCAGGTAACCAAGTTGCAAGTTGTTTCGATCGATGCCTTTCGATTTTTCAGATTATTGCATTTTGTCCGCAACAAATATAAAATTCTATTACAGACGTTCGTATTATAATTATATATTCAAACTGACGTAAAAATAAAATTAATTAAAAATGCGTGGCCGCAAATTACTTTTCATTCGTGTGTATAAATCAATCACGAATATATAAATCATGGCTAATAAGAAAAATAATAATCGACAATACAATATATTTAAAAAAAAATATCACATTTTATCTTGCATGCATTTTGTACTTTTAATTACAGTAATTTTGCACGCTAATTTGAAACAACATTCTAAGAGATTCGGATGAAACAATCATCTTTCGTCGGGTGCGACTTTTCTTCTGAGGAGAGAAAAGATTTATCCAAACTTTTTTATCGTCATTAAAGCCGCTATACGTCCGACGTAATTAGCATTAGAAAAATTTCGCGGAGAGAAGTATATCTCGCCGGAGAGATAGAGAGCGGTCGTGAATAAATATACGATTAAACGCGACACGCGCCGCTCTCTTCCGCAAACAGAATCGGTTTTGTTGAAATTACTCCCGGATAATCCGGTAATAATACCGGAGAGTTACCAGGATTAAATGCGCGCGCTTATCTTTTTGCGAAGGAAAAATTATCTTTCCTCACACACTTTCTCCGATTGATAACCCGCCTTTTTAATATTTTTTCCATTATTAAAAATTAAATAATTCAAAAAAATTATTTAAATCCGATATTAAAAAAAAATAATAAATCAAATTCGCGAGCGAACGACGAACTGTCAAAACCACGTGTTCCACGAAGAGTTACCAGAATTAAATACGCGCGCTTATCTTTTTGTGAAGAAAAAATTATCTTTTCTCACACACTTTCTCCGATTGATAACCCGCCTTTTAAATATTTTTTCCATTATTAAAAATTAAATAATTCAAAAAAATTATTTAAATCCGATATTAAAAAAATATAATAAATCAAATTCGCGAGCGAGCGACGAACTGTCAAAACCACGTGTTCCACGAAGAGTTACCAGGATTGCGCGCGCTTATCTTTTTGCGAAGGAAAAATTGTCTTTTCTCACACACTTTCTCCGATTGATAACCCGCCTTTTTAATATTTTTTCCATTATTAAAAATTAAATAATTCAAAAAAAATTATTCAAATCCGATATTAAAAAAAATAAATCAAATTCGCGAGCGAACGGCGAACTGTCAAAACCACGTGTTCCACGAAGGATTAAATGCGCGCGCTTATCTTTTCGCGAAGGAAAAATTATCTTTCCTCACACATTTTCTCCGATTGATAATTCGTTTTTGAATATTTTTTCCATTATTAAAAATTAAATAATTCAAAAATTATTCAAATCCGATATTTAAATAAATAATAAATCAAATTCGCGAGCGAGCGGCGAACTGTCAAAACCACGTGTTCCACGAAGGGAAATCAAAGAGACTCGCGCGGGACCTAAATCTCGCGGAAGTCGAACAAAGAGTGAGAGCGCGTATGCGGAAGTGTCGATAATTAACAGCTCCGTCAGAGGGATAGAGAATCGGGACGGCGGCAGGCGGTCGTTAATTTTGATGTACGACTCTCCGTCCGTCCATCCCGCTTCGGTTCTCGCGCTCGAAACATTACTGTCATTTTAACGACCCTGTTAGGTGGCGCAAACCGGCTTAACGCCGACCGCTTGATGCCGCGTTAAACAAGTCCCTTCTTGGACCACCCTCGTTTCGCAACCCCCTCCTACCCTCTCCCCTCTTGTCGGCGTGATTGTATAACGCGTCGAATTTACTTTCGCACGGTTTATTCGTCTCTCCTCGAATACATATACAAAAAATCAATGTAAAATTGTGTCCCTTAAAAATGAAATAAAATATAAATAAATTATACCCTTTAATTATCTTTTTTCTTTCAAAGAATATTAATAAATTTTTAATATTTATTAATATCCTTTAATTATTCGAAATAATTTTTTTTTCGAATAAGATAGTAATAAATAAATAAAATAAAAATAGATTGTACCCTTTAATTATCTGAAAAAAAATTGTGTAATTAAAAAACAAAATACTTATTTTCTTGAATTTCCCTAAGAAATATATTTCTTAGAAAAATTTATTAATATCCTTTAATTATTAAAAAAAATTTCGGATAATTAAATATACTTTATTTTTATTTATTTTTTGAAGGATACAATTTATTAATTGACGATATCGAATTTTATTTTACTTTTGAAAGTGCGATAGTATATAATAAACAACAGAACGAATGTTTCGTGTATCCCGAATATACTTTGAAAGTTTCTCGACAGAAAGACAAGGAGCGCGAAATATAATCCCCTTCGAAAGCAATTTAATTATTTTTGCATATAAATTGAATAAGGCCCGACAAAAAAATTACTTCATTAATTCTCCATGCCAATCAACCAATCCAATCAGAACATAAATTCATCTTCAGGTAATGTCAGCCAGCTCTGACAGCGTAAATAATGCAAGAACAATTTTAAATATTAAAAAAATTAAATTATTCAATAACGCACATATATGTATATACATATTCATACTTAATACATATATATATGTAATATATATTTATT